CTTGGTGCAAGGCTGAGGTTGAGCTGGCACACAGAGTAGCCCACACGGTTGGTGACACGGCACTGGTAGACACCGGTGTGCACCACTGACAGGCTATGGATTAACAGGTCGCCGGGAGAACGTCCTGCAGTGGGGAGAAATGGCCCCATCAGCCCCATCACTGCACCCCTGCCAGCACCTGCACCCTTCGACACAGGTGCACAGGGACATGGGAGCACACAGACACGGGAGCACACGGACAAGGGCACATACAGACACGGACACCCATGAGCACAGGTGCACACAGACACCCACATACCTGTGTGCACACAGCCATGGGCACCCACCAACACGTGCACCCACAGACAGGGACACCCCACCCATGAACATCCCCTGCACCTGGGTATCCCCTCCTCCCCCTGGGTGCGTGCAGTCCCACCAGCACCCACCTTGGATGGTGCCGGAGGGCAGGTGTCCCCCACCGTAGCCATCAGCCAGCTTGGTCCAGTGGTAGGCGAGTGGGGAGGTGCCGCCCCGGCTGTAGCACCGCAGCAGGATGCTGCTCCCCTCTATCAGCTCCCCCTCGGTCCAGCACTGCGGGATGGCCGGCTTCTCTGCAGGGAGAGGGACACTGTCACTGCCAGGGACACCAGGGGCCACCCGGGGCACCTTCTGCACGAAGGCCACCCGGTCCTGCAGCCCTGAGCCACTGCCGTAGTTGACGTGGTGGTCGTGGTAGGACAGGAACTGGGGGGAGCAAGCAGGGAAACTGAACAGGGCTGGGCTGGGTGGGGGGGACCCAGGGCTGCCAGCTGGAGAGGGAAATGCAATGCCCAGTGCCTGGCTGGCTCTGCCTGCCCCGCCAGTTCCTTCCCTGCCCTGCCAGACTCTGCCTGGTCCTTCCCTGCCCTGCCTGGTCCTTCCCAGCCCAGCAGTCCCAGACCCTGCCTGGCTCTGCCTGTCCTTCCTGGTCCTTCCCTCCTCTGCCGGACCTTGCCTGTCCTGCCTGCTCTGCTGGGCTCCATCTGGTCTATCCCAGCCCTGCCTGCCCTGCCTGCATGGTGGGATGGCAGCTGCCGGGACGAGTGACACTCACCACATTCTCCGGGCCGGTCCGCTCAGGCGTGGTCTGGATCCACTCGATGCCCACGCCCTGGGGACCATTGTCTTCGGGCTCGAGGATGTAGGGGCAGCCCAGCTTCACGGAGTCACCCTTGGCCAGGTACAGCACCTCCCGGCCCTTGCTGTTGATCCTGACGGCCAGGAGGAGAGCTGGGGAGAGAATGGCACCCATCACACCAGTTGGGGAGCACAGGGGCATCCCAAACCTGCGCCTCAATGCACCCCAACCCCACATCCCACAGCACCCGGACCCGCGGGGAGCAGGGACACAGCAGGGACCCATCCGCACGGTCAGGCACCCAC